GAGGCAATCTCTTTAGATTGTGCAAGAACACACTTGCTTCCAGCCACACAAATCCACGGAAATGTCACTGGCAGCTTCAATGCATGCCAGCTGGATACTGGGCCCAGAGTGTCAAACTGAGATGTATCTGCAGCACCTGGTGCCCAGCCCAGGAATCTCGGTGCCAGTGTCCACGGGGATGGCACCCCTCAACACCCATTTCTCCTAAGCCACCGTCCTGCCTTCCTCCCTTCAGTACAGTTTCCTCCCAGATGGGAAAGGGGCAGAACAGGCAAGGAGGTCACGCAGCTTCCGAGCAGCGCACAGCAGGAGAGTGCGCAGGCAGTTTCCACTAGTGATTTGGTCACAAACACATTTTGACACCCCCCTGGGCTCTCCTGCCACCCCTGTCCTGCTGACTCCAGAACATTCTACCACCTCATCTTCCTCCCTGCTCCAGCACCAGGGCTGATCTGGGCAGTGGGCAGCATTTCCCTCACAGTGGGGAGTCCAGCCAGCCAGGGTGGGAGGGGTTTTCAGACTAAGGTCAAGAAGTGCCTCCAGGGCCGGCCCCGTGGCTTAGCGGTTAAGTGCGCGCGCTCCACTGCTGGCGGCCCGGGGTTCAGATCCCGGGCACGCACCGACTCACCGCTTCTCAGGCCATGCTGAGGCCGCGTCCCCCATACAGCAACTAGAGGGATGTGCAGCTATGACATACAACTATCTACTGGGGCTTTGGGGGGAAAAATAAATAAATAAATAAAATTATAAAAAAAAAAAAAAAAAAGAAGTGCCTCCAAACCCAAAGTCAGGGACAGTCTACAAAATTACCGGCCTTCACCCTTCAGCTATGTCAATGACGGGAAAGACAGATGGACTGAGGGAGGAATGGTTGCAGACTAGAGAGAGGAAGGACGTGGCCCACTGAATGTAACGAGATCTTCTGTTACTATAAATGACATAATTGGGACACTAGGCAAAATCTGAGTCTGTTGATTAGATAATAGTATCGGATCCAGGTTAATTTCTTCATTTTGATCACTGTGCTCTGGTTAGGCAAGAGAACACCCTTGTTTCAAAACAGAGACGCTGAAGTGTTTAAGGGTAAAGGAGCATCATGTCTGCAACTTATTCTCAAATGGCTCAAGAGGAAGAAAAAATATATACAGTCACGCAACACATGACGTTTCTGTCAAAAACAGACCACATATACAACAGTGGTCCCATTGGTAAGATTAGCACCATACAGCCTAGGTTTGTAGTAGGCTATACCATCTAGCTTTGTGTAACTACACTCTATGATGTTCACACGACGACAAAATTGCCTAACGACGCATTTCTCAGAACGTGTCCCCATTGTTAAGTGACCCATGACTGCATATACAAAGAAAAAGATGATGAAGCAAATATGGTAAATATTAACATTTGGGGGATCGGGGTGAAGAGCACTATTCTTGTACTGTTCTGTGAGTTTTAATTTTAAGCTTAATAGGAAAAGTAACAGGAAAAAAAGGCGTGCCCTGCAATGTCTGAACCCTTCCTCCCGCTCCTGGCCTGGATCCAGGAGAAGAGGCTGGCCATCTGAGGTCACTGTCCCAGTCCCCACTCCCTTACAGGTCTCCCCCGCCCTGGCAAGGCCTGCTCTCATCTGCCACCTCCTGCCCAGCCTCCAAGCTGCTCACAGTGGCTGAAGAAAGTACTGTGCTTCTGCCCCAGCATTGGCCAGACTGGGTTGCTCAGGGGGATTCTAGTCCCACCCAAGCCCCACAGGTCTTTGCAGCCTCCCACTCAGCACGTGGAACAGATACAGCCTTTCAGCAGGAACGGCTCCAACTTCTCTCCTCTCCACCAGAACCTCCTGTCTCTCTCCTCCACTCTCCCTGGTCTCACGAGAAAAAGGATGCCTTCTCGCCTCCCAGGGCCCAGCCCTTCTCCCTAGGTGCCCCTCTCCTGGCCCACTCCAGGCTCTCACTCAACAGTGCCTTGGAGCCACCTCAGGTCTCTCTGAGCAAGGCAGCCGCATGCTTCCCTTCGCCAGCTATTATCCTTCTCCGCCCTGTCACCCGGGTAGTTCCTCAACCCATACTCCCGCCCAGGTGTTCATTCGTTAGCACTGTGACATCTGGCTCCCATGCTCCCCCCAAAGTGGCAATGTCAAAGACAGAACTTAGAATTGAAGCCTTGACCTGCAGCCTCTGCTCTACCTCTTCCGAGCCGTGTGGCTCTCTGCACATTTCCAGGACACGTGGGGAGTGCACATGCAGGCTCAGTATGAACTGTAACAGCCAACCCTCGCCTGGCCCCTTTTTCTTCAACTGTCCCTGACTTCTCTACGCAGCCTCCTGGGAGCTGACGTCAAATACACCCTGTCTGCTGGCGGCTCCCAAACCTGCATCTCTGTTGCTGCCCCTCTTCTCAACTCTGCTTGTCTGGGTCCCACAGCTGCCTGGACATCTACCCTCCGGCATCCAGCTAGCTCCTCAAATTTAACATGCCGACCCTTGGACCCAATCTCATTTGTGCTAGATTCACCAAAAGGCAGTCACAGCAGGTGCTTAAGGCCACCAAGAAGCAAGAAACTTCTGGGGAAGAATTTGATATTCAAAAAATGCATCAAAGCAGCTTGTCCTGTTGTGTACCATGTATTGTGAGTTATGTAGGGGGAAGAGCACCAAAAACATTTGCAGTATCAGGGCCTCTGACGTCTCAATATAGCTCTCACTATCATCTCCAACAAGAGTTCGTCCTTCCTGAACATGCTTGGGCGCTGGTCACTCAGAGCCCACTCTAAAATCATCCTTTACTCTTCTCACATCTGCAATACAGTTATTGCCTCCTACCCAAGCCCACCCATGCTGTCCTCTGCCATGGGTCACCTCCTCGAAGCACAGAAGGGAAGCATCACACAGTTCTGGGGGCTCCCCCTTGACTCAAGTCCAAGCTCCTGCCTATAAGTGAAGGCCTCCCCCATGGGCCCACGTCTAGCTGCCTCCAACTCGGTTGTTCACCACCCCCTCCTCACAGACTCTGCGCTTCAGCCAAACCAGACTTCTCGCCATCTGGGAACACATGTTCTCTCTGCCCAAAATAACCTACATCCATCTCCACCTGTCGAGATCTGTCCTTGAAGGGTTATTCAATAAATAGTACTGGGACAATTGGCCATTTGAAGGAAATTTTTTAGATTCTTCACTTCATACTATACACCAAAATATATTCCAGATAAACTAGAGTTAAATATAAAATATACATATAAAAATATGATATAATCACATACATTAAAAAATAAAACTGTAGGGGCCTGCCTGGTGGCGTAGTGGTTAAGTTTGCACGCTCCACTTCAGAGGCCCGGGGTTCACCCATTCGGATCCCGGGCGCACACCGTCACATCACTTCTCAAGCCATGCTGTGGCGGCATCCCATATAAAGTAGAGGAAGATGGGCACGGATGTTAGCCCAGGGCCAGTCTTCCTCAGCAAAAAGAGGAGGATTGGCATTGGATGTTAGCTCAGGGCTGATCTTCCTCACAAATAAATAAATAAATAAATAATAAAACTGTAAAAAGTCTGAAAAAATATGTGATTACCAAATATACGAAAGAGTGGAAGACCTAAACGTAAAAGCAAAGAATGAAATTTCAAAGGAAACAAAGCTATAGAACTAACTCATTAAATAGAACTTGACTCATTAAAACCAAACTGATAAGAAATGGACAGAGGGGTAGAGAGTCCTTCCCATGAACTGAATGTTGGGGTCCCTTGTGCAGGGAAGTGGTTTGGTTAGCAAGAAATTAGAGAAGGAGCAGCATAGGTATCTTTCATGAAGGCCAAGTGATGCCTGACATCACATTCCTTCCCTAGTGATGTGAAATGTCCAAATCCTCTCCAAGACTGATGTGTTCAAGGCCTAAACTTTGACGTCTTTCCCTGGACTCTCCTGTGTTCAGTTGATAGCTAGTATTCTAATTTTGTTTGAGTGGGTCTTTTTTATGAAACAAAAGAGGTGACTAATACTTAGGGAGTGCTTCCTCTGTGCCAGGTTATGTGTTTTATATGCATTATCTCATTTAATTCTTATAATATCCCCACAAGATAGGTACTATTATTCCCATTTAACAAGTGGGGAAATTGAGACTTAAGAGATTAACTGAACTGCCCAAGATCACACAGCTGGTATGGATTCAGACCCAGGCAGAGCGACTCTCAGCACAAATCTCTTCCCATAGAAAGCCATACTTTTTACTTCTTTAATCCATTCCTGTTTCTCCACACAGTAGGCACATGAAACATGTATCTTTCTGAGTTAACCTGTAAAATGGTTGTCAGTGCCTGTACATACGTGTTCCATAAAAGTTAACTCCTTCCCTAAGCTCTGCGTCCCCATTAGGACTGTTGGTTCAGGCCTTCATCACATTTTTCTTATGTTGTTGTGATGATGGTGATGTTATCGCGTGTTCCCGGCATTATGTAAAGTATTCCACCAACTAAAGCTGAGTCCACATTTATTGAGCACTTACTATAACTTAGGTATTATGCTAAACATTTTTTATGGATTAATACCCAACAATCCTATAAGGTCAGTTCTGTTTTGTTTTGAGTGCAGATGACCCCACCATCCTCCCTACTTTAATTCTTCTCTTTAATAATACTACTAACTGTATTGAAGTATAATTTCCCTACAGTAAACTGCACTTATTTAAAGCATACGTTTCAATGAGTTTTGGCACTTGTATGAAACCACCACCACGAGACTGTTTTCGTCCCCCCTCCATTCCCCTGCGCCTCCGGCGCCTCCCCCTGCCCAGCCCCGGTCCCGGACCCCAGGCCGCCCCCACCACCCCGCAGCTCGCCCACAGGCCGCCCCGCGCCGGTGTCGTCACTGCTCTGCGCCCCGCCGCCGCGGCGCGCAGCACTTCCAGCCGCGAGGCACTTCCAGCCGCGAGGACGTGGTGGGCGGGGTAGGATGGCGTCACGGGGGCGCGCGCCGGAAGCGGCCGCGGACTGGGCGGAAGTGGCGGGGCGGGGCGCGGAGGCGATGGGGGGCGGCGGCGGAGGCTGGCGATGAGCGGCGGGAGCGCGTGAGCGGGCCGGCAAGCGAGGCTGGGGGGCCCCGGAGAGCGAGCCGCAAGGCGGAGGGCGGGGGCGCTAGCGCTCCGGGCGGCGGGCGGCGGCCAGGACGCGACGGCGGCGGCCAGGGCGCGGCGGCCGAGAAGATGGCGGACGGCGACAGCGGCAGCGAGCGCGGCGGCGGCGGGCTCGGCGGCTTCCAGCCCGCGTCCCGTGGCGGCGGCGAGCAGGAGACGCAGGAGTTGGCCTCGAAGCGGCTGGACATCCAGAACAAGCGCTTTTACCTGGACGTGAAGCAGAACGCCAAGGGCCGCTTCCTCAAGATCGCCGAGGTGGGCGCCGGCGGCTCCAAGAGCCGCCTCACGCTGTCCATGGCGGTGGCCGCCGAGTTCCGCGACTACCTGGGCGACTTCATTGAGCACTACGCGCAGCTGGGCCCCAGCAGCCCGGAGCAGGTGGCGGCGGCGGCAGGTGCTGAGGAGGGCGGTGGGCCGCGGCGCGCGCTCAAGAGCGAGTTCCTGGTGCGCGAGAACCGCAAGTACTACCTGGACCTTAAGGAGAACCAGCGCGGCCGCTTCCTGCGTATCCGCCAGACAGTCAACCGCGGCGGCGGCCCCGGGCCCGGCGGCCTGCAGAGCGGCCAGACCATCGCCCTGCCCGCCCAGGGCCTCATCGAGTTCCGCGACGCGCTGGCCAAGCTCATCGACGACTACGGCGGCGAGGACGACGAGCTGGCGGGGGGGCCCGGCGGCGGCGGGGGGCCCGGCGGCGGCCTGTACGGGGAGCTCCCAGAAGGCACCTCCATCACGGTGGACTCGAAGCGCTTTTTCTTCGACGTGGGCTGCAACAAGTACGGGGTGTTCCTGCGCGTGAGCGAGGTGAAGCCGTCCTACCGCAACGCCATCACCGTCCCCTTCAAGGCCTGGGGCAAGTTCGGGGGCGCCTTTTGCCGGTATGCGGATGAGATGAAGGAGATCCAGGAGCGGCAGAGGGATAAACTTTATGAGCGACGCGGCGGCGACGAGTCCGAGGGCGAGGAGGTGGATGAGGATTGAAACTCGCAGTTTCTCCTATGGGCCTTCCCACCCCACCATCGTCCACTTGGCTAGAGAGCTCCCCTTCCTGCTCATCCACAGTGAGTTAATGGAGTGGGAGCAAGGGAGGCCCAGAGGGAGAAAACGAAATTTAAAATTATATAGTTAATTAAGACAAATAACCATAAGAGAACAGTCACGGACAATTAGAGAAAAGCAGTAAAGTTCCAAGGAACTGACAGCAACCTGCAAAGAGAGGACGACAGCTTCTCCTCACCTGAGCAAAATAAGTCTCAGCTTCTGCTGTTTCCCAACTGAGGTTCCTAAACTCCTCAGGATAACCCTGGAAGGGATAGATTCTCGCACATCTTGTGCCCAGGAACACTTGAGTTACCTGGACCCCACTGATAACAGCTGAATTTGTTCTACCTGGGTAACCTGGACTAAAGATCTCTCCAGACCTTGCTGTTGCAGTGTCTGCCCCTTCACCTCCATTGAAATCAGCATTTTGGATCCAAGTCTTCATAGGAATCTTGAGAAGAGAGAGGCCTTTGCAGTTACCCAGTTCTGAGGGTATAGGTTTCATGAAGAGGGATGCAACTCTAAATAATCATAGAGCTAAATAAGAATTTAAGAAGCCACCGGGGAATGCAGAAACAAATTGGATCCATTTTGTTTAAAATGGTTTTGCATGGAACCTGGACCAAGGCCTGTGTCTTTTCTTTGCAGAATTGTTTTCTGGGATGCAAATGGATTCAGATGTCACTCCTTGAATTAGAATCCGTTACTGAAATATTTTAAAAGTTGGCAAAAATTATTCAAAGATAAAAGAGCATTTTTACATTGGGGGTTGCTGAGGTAGGCACAAGAAGAAATCAGGCATAAAGCACAAGGAAAACTGTTTGAGTGGATTGGTTGCTGCTCACTAAAGTTCTTCCCCTGATCTCCAAATATGGAGGTCATTACCAAGAAATGGCTTCGGTATGAATGAGAGCCAGATCCCTGTGGCTCCACCGTGTGAGCCAGTGAATTATGGCTAATTTGGCTGTTTCAGCCACTGGATGGCTGGATTTTAAACCGTAAAACTTGAAGATAACTACAAAAGGAACAGTGTGGCTACAAGCCTGAGCTTTAATGGAATGTACGTCCTCACAGAAGTTGGAAATAACCAAAACTGAAGTCATCTACCTTCAGTTTAATCTGTGGATTTGTTCAAATACTAAAGATCCTCAGGTCCAGAATTCCAGCATCATTTATTCTTTTAAAATAAATTTTTAAGAACTTGATCCATTGTTTCAGTACCTCACAATCAGAGTTGGCAAATGATGGATGAGTGATTCATGCAGCATGACCTTTGGAAGCTGAAATCCATCTGAATAGAGCTGAAGTGAAAGTGAATATGCTGACTATATTCTGGAAGCATTTTTATACCATCTTGAAATTTCAACAAACTGGCTTTTGCCAGTTTATCCAGCTGTCTTACAAGAATAAAAGTTGGGGTTTTCAAGGATCGCCTCTTCTATATTTTAAATGGATTTTCCGTAAAAATGATTTTACTAATCAAGTCAATCCCGCCCCATCAAAAGGTATTCCTAGAAATGTCATAGATCTAGGTAACTTTGAATTGAATGGGAGCTAATGTTCTTTCCAAAGTTTTCAGGTATTCTTTGTGCGACACCTTCTCAACCAGGAGGCAAGTAACCCCACCTCCACAATCTTAGTATTTTTTTTTTTAACTGCATGCCTGCCCTTTATTTGAGCTGCCTTTTAATTTATTGCATACCCTTTTTATTATCTTATTTTGGTATTATTCAACCTCTACAGTCTTTTTGTATTTATTGGGAATAAATAATATACATAAAGGTCATTTTCATGCATTGTGGCTGAGAGAGAGGGAAATATTGTATATATAAAATTAGGCTTTTTTAAAAATTAGACTATGATTCAGAATATTGTTGATCTTAGATTTTTAAAAAAAAGTGGAAGAGCCACAGACATTGGTGCCCTTTTCAGACTATTTCTCTACTCTCATCATCCACAGTAGACTTTTTAAACATTTTTTTTTAGAGCTTTTCTTTTTTTTTAAATTTTTCTCCGTTGCAAAGAATGTTTCCTAAATTGTATGGGAGCAATAGTATTTTTGATGTTTTAATGACATCTGTATACTTGTACTGTATTTTGTACTACAAGGCAGCTGTTTTCAATAATGTCCTGCTGTATTTACCTATGTGTTTTGAGTGTTTATTTCTTTGCTGCGGAGAACAAATCCCTAAGTAGTTTTAGTAAAGGAGCTGAGAAACTAGCATTAGGTTTGCAGAAACTGTTTAAGTTTCAAACTCTGAGGCAGCAATGAAAATTAAGTTTGCAGCTATTAGTTGATTGCTGTAACTTTTTCATTTTCGAACCATGTACAATTCCTGTAAAGACCAACTTGTTTTCTTGCTTCAGTGGTGATTCTATTGCTCAGCTGCAGTGAGCCAGTTCAATTTTGCAAAGGTGCAGTACCTCTCCTTTTTAAGGAGTTGGTTTATTCTGTTTCTGTTCATTTGGCTGAATTGCAGTAACTAGCCCTGCCTTTCTATCCTGTAGAAATGACAGGGTCTTCACAATCCTTCACCAGTGGCTACTAAGCTATAATTAGCTAAATAGAATGTGGAAGTGGTCTGAGGCATATAAAGTATATGCCAAGAACACTACCATATATGGCATCAGCTTTGGTTACCAGAGAAATTTTCTTAGTCATTAGACCATATAACAGTAATATATCATATGTAAATCTTTAGATATCAATTTGAGAATCCTCCAAAAAAAGGAGCAAAGAATGCATAAGCTATGTGTTGGAAAAAGTAATTTATATTAAAATTTTGACCTGCCTATGTAAGATTAAGGGGTAAAGGTCATAGTGGTGGGTTTTTAAGTCTTAACCAATCTCAAAGGTTTGTTCTCCTGCAGGGGGTGGTTCATGGCTTCTCTTCCCACTGCAGGAAGATTACAGAAGGATGTGGATTAATTGTAGCATTTCACTGATCCGCATTCCAGTCCCTTGGGACAATAGAAATCTGTAAAGCACAGAGACTGCAGTTTTGATATGTAGTTTGTTCAACAAGGCAATATTAATGGGCCTTCTTTCAGAACTCATTCATAAATATTGCTTATTAAAGCAAATGTTTTTTGATAAACCCAGTCAGAAAATGGCATTATATAGACTATGGGAAACAACCAATTTTTTTTGTTTTGTATTTCAACCACTACCATGAACAGTGATTTAGGGCTTGTTTTTTAACTTTTGCAAACATCCCAGCTAATCACATGTTCAAAATAGTCATATTCCTGAGAAGTAGGTAACTAAAATTCCTTTTCAGATAATTGGTAGAATGTTTGTTTCTCAAACTACTGCAGTTACAGACGTGAGAAGTCAAATTTTAGGAACAGAATCAAAAAAGCAAAAATCTGATGAGATCCTACTATTCCCTTCTGGTTTCTATTGTCCCTACCTATCATTCAAGTAGAACAGCAGTTCTAGTCAGCAAAGAAAGTTTTCAGTGCATATGCTGCACAGAACAAAATGTAAATCTGTATAGCACCAAAAATCAAAGTGAGAACCAAACCAAAAACCCAGACACCCTATGTTACTATGGGAGGCATGTAGGTGGTATAAATGACTGTAGCTGTGATACACACATGGCTACTCGTCAAGTCACTTTTCCATAATTATTTACTGCAAAATGATTGAGAGGCTTTAGGTGCAGGCAGCCGTTAACCTCCTGCTTCCATTGTTACCTCTCCATCACTTTGCAATAAATTGCAGGTCTTCTAAGTCAAGCTTCAGTTTTCTCAAAACAAAACAATTATCCTGTCTTATCTGAAAATGCAGGGTTGTGGGCTAAAGAGGCTGGTTATAATAATGCCCTCATATTGAGTGGTCTGTAAATGGCTGCACACTTCAGGCACTATAGTTGCTGAGGATGCTTTGTTAAATGTGACCTTGACTGGCTTTACAGGGGGGTAGAATTAACTACACAAGGTATTGAAAGGTGACTATTCATTTGTGTCTACCTTGCTCTTGAGGTGGATGAAATTAAGGAGAAGCTTGAGTGTGTAAGCCATGCACATAAGTATTCTTCACTGTAAATTTTGTTTTCATTTTTAACCCACTTTATGGTACTTTGTCCAATGCACAAATGATCTCTCAGTAGATATTCATTTGAAAATAGTGTGGCCTTGATCAGTGAGAAGGGGGAGGAGAGAAATGACTTTTTGCTTGTGTAAAAATGACTCATTTGCTGAGAGTCGTTCTGCAGCACTCTTAGTATCTAATGCATTTGTGACCTGTCTCCTTTTTGATTGGGGAAAGGTAATGTTTTTGACCCTGGGGTTATTAATTCAATTGAGTTGTCTTCTATTTTTAGGAAGTATCAGAATTGCTCTGATAAGTAACAAAGTTGACTGCTTTGATGTCCAATCTCAGGTTTTAGAATATATATAGTGGTGTAAAATCCCACCGTTAAAACAGTTTTGATTTAGTACACCCTAAAAGTCACACGCATAAGGCCTGTTCAGAGAGCAGAGCCTCCATCTTTTTGCTCCTTTTCCACTTTGTACGTCACTTGAGAAAATGTCGAGTGATTTTACATTGTATATTTCCATTTTACCCTGACATATATCTCAAAGATAAAGCACTTTTTGATCGTGAAATACATGGAATCTTTGTGTGTTGTGGATCATGATTTCTCAGGCTCCCATAATCTGCTTATGAATATTGTTCTAACTGTGTAACAAGAGTAGAAATCTTTGCTAACGTTAGAAAGTTTGTATTATTGATCCAGAATGCATTTTGCTAGCTTCCAATGGATGGGAGAGTAAACAATGCTGCATTCACAATTTAATAAGTTACTTTCCCTTGAGCCTTAAGGTAACTTTTTTTTCTGTCAACAACAGCACTGAAGTGACAGTAAATGAATGAGATTATCAGTTTTCAGGGTTGGTTTTAGAGTACTGTAAATCAATTAGCTGTCTTCCTTAACAGTTACTATTCCCATTGAATAAACTGGATAATGGGTGTGTGGGTAGGGCTGGGGAGGGAGGGAGATGGTTTGTAGAAAAGAAAAAAGAAAAAAAGAACCACATTTACCTTAAGAAAAATAGACAGAAAAAAACTGCATGTCAATGCCCTGTTTGAAATTCTACACATAAGGTGGAAATGGCATATTATAACTTCATTTCCCGTTTTTAATCTAGAAAGCAAAATCATTAATTTTCAAATATTAGCCCCCAGAAGTTTCAAGAGATAGCGGCCTTTTTTTTTTAATAGCAGGCTCTTGAATGGTGAGTTCTCTTAATATATCTAACTTTTTATTTAAAGTCTCTGTTCCCGGCCCTCAGTCTTAAAACTTAGTTTCATTACTGATATACTTAACAGACTGTTTTTTCAACAAATGTGGTCCAATTGTCAGTACCAAAAATTAAATTTGGAAAAGGAAAAATAATAAAATTAGATCACAAAGACTTATTACTCTATCAATTTCTGATTGATATCTGTACCCCTGATCCAAGTAAGAGCTTTGTGAAATGTATTTTATATTTCCTAATGAAATAGGAAATATGCCATCAATATAATCACCTTTATTCACAATCTTTTACTTTTCATTTGAAAATCCAACTCATGCCTCTTGAATTAGACATTCCAATTTGGATAGGTAAGCCATGTTAAAACAATAGCAAATGCCATATTGGTAGTTTCACTGTTCAGTAGGACTTCTAATAAAGGGAGGGCAGAGCTTTATTTGATGCTAAAATGTTATTTTTTTCCATAGGTGATTCTAACAAATGGTTTGATAAGTGTATGACTACTTTTAATTAACAAGAGATTTTAAGTCTAGGAGCAAATTTCATTTTCTTTATGTTATATGTAAAGTATCCCTTGACATGGATGAGAGGGCTGATTATATCTTTAATATGAAATGGGGGCCCAGAGTATTAGAGAAAAAGCAGTAGACCTAATCAAGTTCATTGTGCACTAGCATATTGCAGGAGACATGAGTTTGTCCCCCCCCCCCCGTTCAATAACTTCAACGGCTAACTCTTCTAAGAAAGTTGATTTAGACCACCTCTTATTTCTTAAAGGCAAACTTTCATTCCCAGACTTACCCTGTGTTGCAAGATCAGGATGGTTCAACAAATCTTTATATTTGGAAATAGAATGGCAAGTAGTATATTCCTTCCCTTTTGAAATTCCTTTTTCAGGAACGTATAACTGCAGGTAGAGTCCCAAGAAAATTGAAAAACAGCTTAGCGATTGTATCCCTAAGCACATTTGTGTTGTAGGAATTTGGGAGTTTCATTTTAAACTGTTCAGATATGAAGCATAAACTTTTCTCCCAGCCCACATGTCACTTCTGTGTACAAAAGTACTCTGGATTCCTAGAAGTTAACTTGGGCAAAAGTCCAGAAACTGATTTTAAGTCGGTATAGGGAATACTTACAGAGAGTCTATAGTTCTGCATGTTCTGGTAGCAGGCAACTATATTTGAGTTTTTTTCAATGATTATCAGTATTTGGATAATAACTAAGATTATCAATGTATTTGGACTTATTTTTTCCTAAAGTTCTACAACAATTAGTAGGGATTTATTCTTCCTTTTGCACCTTCATGCAGATGTTTTTCCAAGATGGTTTTTAAAAGTCCATCCATCTAATATATTTTCAGATAACACACTTGGCATTCTATAGTAACTTTCACTGCCAATCATATCTACTAGGGGCTTCCTTACACTAGTTTCCTCACTCCCAAGTTGGGACTGATGTCCTGGCAGTAGAAAATCTACAGAAGTAATTTGAATGAATTAAAACCAAATCTTGATAGCAGGAGACAGAGCTTCCTGATCTAGATGTACAACTAGAGTTTAGGTTGGAAGTTACTTTAAAAGGGATTTGGGGGGTGTCTTCAGTCTCTGTAAATACCCACATGCTTGTGCATTGTAAACCAAGTGTGTATTCCTATGTATGAATTTGTAGAACTGATTTCTGCTTCAAGAGAAGCCGCACCTTTATAAGGTCCCTTCCACCTGTAACCCTATAAATATTTGTAAATAGAACACTAAAATTTGTAGTGATAGAATCAATTTGGGAATATCTGCTGAGAGACCAAAAAGTTCATTTTTTTAAGTACCTTGGCTAAAGAGTAAAGATTATTCCTCTTATTTTTTAAAAGAAGAATGCACTTTAACAAACACAGCTGCATGGGCAATTCAAACAAATCCATGAAGTGCAGTACCCATTCAGAAATCACACTTCCTGGAAACCGTTCAAAAGCAGAGTCTAGACGGGCTGTTGATCTCACTGCCTGGAGGTTGAAGCTCAGATTCCAGTCAATTTCAAGACTAAGCAGGGCTGCTTCGAAAGAGCAATGTGAATACAGCCAGAAGCTTCAGACAGGTCTGTAAAATGGCGGGTCCCATATTTACCACTAACTAGCAAAACTGACAAAAACTCGTAGAGAAAAACGTTTAAGAATCCTTACTGCTGGTGTGTACTCCTTACAATAGCAGACTTTTGCAAATGGAGTTTTACAGTCTATATTTAAAAAATTGTATGTTTGTAACAAATAAAGTATGCAGAAAAGTGAATGACAGTGTTGTGCTGGTGTCTCTAATTTAAGGAATTACGTGGTGCTGGGGAGGGAAATACTGCACACCATCTGCTGGGGTTCATAATATGGTGGGTCTGGGATTGGGTGAGTTCCTACTTGCAATGACTTAAAAGCCATTACACATTTCATCTGAAGTAGAGCCTGTTAGTTCGAGAGCCTCGGGACTCCCATAACCTTTTCTAGTTAGTAAGCAGTGTATGGAGAAAATCAAAGTTGCAAATTAGTTTCACACTTTGGTTCCTGTCTGTATACTCGTTGCTTCCCCTGATTTCTTGATTTTCTGCTGGCTCCGAGGCCCTATCATTTCCAGTGGATGTAAAGAAGCTGTTTCCTCATCTTTTGTCACCATAACTGACTGCTTAGGAAGTAGATTAGGCCAGGTCATCTCTTACCCCAATGTTCAAGGAAAAAATGGTTATGTCCATAGATCCCGGCCATGGTTCCCAAACTTTTTCATCTCAGGAAACTGTTTACACTCTTAAAGACCCCCAAGGAGCTTTTATCTTTCAGGGCTTTATCAACTGATAACCTATCAGTAGAAACTGAACCATTTTTAAGGCAAAAATAAGTACACATTTCCATCCACTATCAGAGCAATGATATCACATCATTTAGCCTCTGGAAAACACTAAACTTGTGAGAAAATGAAAGTGAACAAGGCAAATACCAATGTTATGAAAGTAGTTTGACTTCTGCACTCCCTGAAAGTCTTGGGGACTTCGGGGAGTTTCTGGATCACCCTTAGAACCTCCGAACTAGACTGGTGTGTAAATTAGGCCTTTCTGAAGATGAGGGATGGGGTTGGAGGAGACTAAGATAACTTAATCCTATAGTTCTCCCCGTGCTTGCTTTATATTAGAGGATCTTGCTATAAAATAATTACTCCCACCACCACCACTACCCGCACTGTACACACAGTTAATTTTCCTGTGACTGTCGACTCTACAGTCTGGCAGTAGTTCTCAATGCTGACTGCAGAACCACTTGGAGAGCCTCAAATACTGATGCCCAGGCACCACAGACCAACTGTATCAGAATCTTTGGGACATAGACATAGAGTGTTGTATGTGTTTTGTTTACATTTTTAAGCTCCCCCAAGTGATTCTAGTCAGGGATGATAGCCAGTGGCCTGTGGGATCTTAGGGTATAAAGAAGGGGAAGAGCTGGGAATCTGCTGGAGGAAAACAAAACTCAGGATTGCAGAGCATCCTTGAGCGAATGGCTTCCACCTTGTGGCTGCTGTGCATAAATTACCCACACCACCGCTTAAACCCCAAAATAACTCATCTTAAGAAAAGTTTGCAAATGGAATCATCGATCATTGTGTCAGTAGCGCCCTTCCTGGAGAGACCTGGGAGTTTTACTGGCACAGAAAACGCTTTAGCGTGTGTTGGAGTCGCTGGGAGGGCTGATTACTGAGCCCTCTCTCCACCGCCAGAGTTTCTGATTCAGCAGGTCTGAGTGGAGCCTGAGAAGCTGCATTTCTAATAAGTTCCCAGGGGTTGCTGATGCTGCTGGTGGGGACCACACTTTGAGACTCGCTGCAGAAATCACAAAAGTTCAGGAAAAATTAGCTCAGTTACTGCCAACTGACAGAGGTTTCAGTAAGCATTTACCCTGATGCTTTGGTTCAGCCGTAGCCCTGCTGAAATTTTTAGCTTGATGTGAAGTTGTTGCTGCACGAGTTTGACGACTACATGTAGCCAGGCTGTAGCCCAAAGAGCTCTATTGGAGCCAGCGCCTCAAGGAATAGGGGTATTACTTCACAGTTTGGGTATTTTGGATGTTATGAGCTAGGTTCTATCCCTGACTCTGTGGTAAACTAATAGTGTGACTCCAGGCAAGCACTTTAACATGTGAAAATCCTTAAGGTCCTACAACAGTGTCTCGTTTCCTGGAGAAGCCATTAGGACTTAGGGAAATGAGAGCCACCTGCTGGTCAGTACTGAAATCATTTTAATAACCATTGTGAGGTCAGATCATTTGTAAATTCATCCATTCATTATTGGGTAGCTACCATATGCCAGGTGTTGCAGTAGGTGTAGAAGATATGGTCCCTGGTCCAAATGAAACTTACAGTTTAGTGGGTTGGGAGAAGGGACAGTAGAAAGCTTTTAGGAAGAACTAGGAGGAACTAAGGTACATTGGACTAAGGTATATTCAGGGCTCAAATGTTCTGGTTTACATGACCCCGGGTCTCCAGAAGGTTAGGATGGGTGCAGCTCAGATTTGCTAGACATATCTCCCTCCTCAGTAAAATGCCTCTATGCAATCTCAAATCCTGAGAAGCCACTTCCCCAGACCCCGGGGAGGAAGTGGGCCCAGCATAGATGGACGGAGGGAGGAAGGAATGGGAGAATTAGCTCAGAGCCCTGGTCTGTGTTCTTTCCGTTTTTCCTCTGGCATCATTCACCATACAGTTAGAATCTGGGAGGGGTGAGGCCCCATTGCCTGGGCATGTGCCCCAAGCTCTCACAGCTAGAGAGCAGTAACGCTGGGCTTTGGCCAGGTCCAGTAAGTACTCCTTCTCCGTGCCCATGCTTCCCTCACGTGGGGTGACAGATTCCTAATGAGATCTGAGTAGACCAGTCTCCCTAGCTAATAACTAGACCTCAATCCAAGCAATAGAGAATTTTGTTTGCAACATGATTCCTGACCCAGTCCTTTACTCCTTACAAGAGACAGCACCATTGAAACTATAAAAGAAAATATTCCCCACGCAAGATGTAACTTTTCTTCGACTTCCATGGTACTTTATGTAGGCCTCTCAGTGAGCCCAATTAAGGTCCCCAAACTAGTTAGTGGCAAAAATGAACACACACCTAACCCAGTTCTCTTATCTGCTACACCATGCTGCCGCAGAAAGGACAAAACTCCTATGCTAGGAGCCTGAGATGACACATGATGGATCCACAGGTACTCCATAAAGCTCTGCAAAACCTTATATGGTTTCTGCAGAAAGGCAATCAGATGTAGAAACTGCGGGTCACACTCACTGATGTTTTCAGGGTGTGGTATCTGAGA